CCCCCATCACCGTCCAAAGTTCATCATGCGGTCACGATTGTCCGGTAGTGTTTTATTTTTCATTTTTTTTCTACACATCGGAATGACCTAAAATTTGGAGCGTATATTCATAAAAAATAGGAGAATCTTTGAAAATTATGAAAATAATATTTTACATGAAACAAATTGACAAAAAAACCCCAAAATATTTTGGGGGTATTTTGGTCAGTTTATTTTTTGCTGATAATTTTTTTTATATTTTTATTAAATGTAACTTAATAAGATGTACATAACCTCCAAATTTCAAGTCATTCTAATTTATAGAAAAAAAAAAAACCGGACAATCATGACCGTGCGATGAAATTTGGACGGTGATGAGGATAGGTGAAATCACTATTTATTTTCACCTATAGGCGTTGGAAAGACTTTTCCATATATATATATATGGAAAACACTACAAAACGCCTTATAGGAAAAGGCTTCTGTTAGCGAATGGGCTCACAAGAAAAAATGAGCCCAATGGCCCAGATTGAATCTAGGCCGATCAAATAATCACGGATGCCCGATAGTGTTTGAATTGTAACGTTTTTTTTTTACAAATCCAAATCAATTGAAATTTTAGATGTATGTTCATAAAAAATAGATGAATATTCAAATTGCTTGAAATTTGGAGCGCTTATTCTTCAAGACTAGTAGAATCTAATAAAAAAATAATTCGCACAAATTAAATTCTCTAAAATACCACTGAAATGTTCCGGAAGTATTTTTGTCAATTTATGTTATGTAAATTATTTTTTAAATATTTTTATTAGGTGCATCTTGATGAGAAAAGTTTATACTCCAAATTTCATACTATTTTGATTTATAAAAGAAAATACTAAAATTATATTACCGATATATAGTCCTGACCGTCAGATTGGCCCTTGTTTAATCTTAGTAATTGGGTTTACACTGTTCCTGTTCCATGGGCCCATGGGCTCACCCTAGCATCTACCATACATATATGTATATGTATGTATGTTTATATATA